ACCACTGCCGAGTGGTCCCCTCTCAGTTATCTTTTTTAGCCATAGCTTACGTTGGGAACTCATGATCTGCCCAAAGGTGGAGTGAATTGGGGGAAAAGTAAAACAGCTACCGTTGTCATTTTATTTTGGGCTTTTCACGATGTTTTAGGAACTGCACCAACGCTTAAAAGGCAGGTACATAAAACCGATCACTATTTGGACTTGCAATGTGCCGGCAAGTTTGGGGCTAAGAAAGAACGCTGTGACCTAGCCAGATAAGAATAGTGTGTATGATGAACTGGGCCAGAATATCGATGTGTCCAGACTATCCGGCTAGAGGGTTCTGAACAAGTAGCGCAGCCAAACTAAGTAACCTGTCAAACAGTGCAGACGCCTGACCTTGTGCCTTTAGCTTAACCAGTCTCTTTAAAGTGTAATGACCGGATTCATGAGTGGATCTGGCCGAACCTCGGAAGATTTAATTTTGGTAATTGTTTCCCCTTGAATAAAGTATGCAGGTTATTCAATTAATGCCCATATATCTCAATGTCTTTTAATGAAACCTTTTTCTTCCAAAGTTTTTAGGATTTGTCCTGGTGCGAACTTGACAGACGCAAAGACCAATCACCAATTGTTCCAACTTCTTATATACCCACGAATATGAGATCAAGGGAGAACACGATAGTGTAGTCGGATGGAATAGTATATTTGGATGGTTGTGCCAAAATACAGATGCGTTCCAACTAACTGGCTAGAGAGTCGAATACGAGCATTGCAACGCAACACGACAGCGTGCCAAATGGTGAGGATGCTTGACCGGGTGCCTTCGGCTTAGGGAGTCCAGTTAAACTACCAACGTCGGCATCAATGTTGAATATCGTCAAACCCTAGGCTATTGATTTCGGGGAAGTATGTGACGCTACAGATCACTCCCCCTCCCCAGTGGGTTCGTGAGGACCCTAGGACAATACCAGCCGGAAGTAAAAACCCGGTGTTTTCTCCGCTGGTAAAACTCTTCCGTTGGGCTCACTGCGTGAAGTGGCCCCTGGCTGTCCGAACTTATTCTAGGGTGTTGTGGCAATTAAATGAATAAAATACAATAAATGAATTGGACGTCGATCGCGGTCATCAGTTCCTTTTGACGCTCCGTCCAGTGCTCGTTGCACCTGGAATATAAATAAAAGTCTCTAATACCACCAAAACGTTACGTAAAAATGAGAATTATTCACGTATAAACATATCGAAAAATAAAAATTTACGCTTATCTTCACCGTTTTTTTAAAGTTATTATTACATGGTAATAAAAATTGATACAAAAAAAGCAAAGTGTACGAGGGTTTGTACTGAGGTATCGGGTAACAGTCCGGAGTTATTTTGGCGTTGAGCCTTCGGTAATCAGCGGTTGGACGCCAGTCGTTGCTATCCTTTCTGGGAACCATGTACAGTGGCGATGCCCAAGGACTGTTTGACGGTCTGATAATGCCCAGTTCAGGTATGTGGTCGAATTCACTCTTCGCCGCTTTGGGCTTATCGGGGGCTAAACGGCGCGCTTTGAATGCCACAGGTGGACCTGTGGTTGTCACGTGATGCATAACATTCCTGGTTATGCACGGAAGAGTGTGCTTCGGTTGCTGCAACTCTGGATATTCCTCCAAAACTGCTTGGTAGGACGCGTCGCCTGATTGTTTGGTTCTAACGATGGCTAAACTCGGACCTACGTAGGTGGTGCCGCCAATAGGTAACTTTATGTTGTTATCTATCAGACGTCGATGGCGAGCATCTACGAGTAGATCGTAATGGTTCAGCAAATCTATGCCAATGATGGGCATAGAAACGTCAGCCAGGAGGAAAATCCAGTGGATAGATTTACGTAAACCTAAGTTGAGCTAGGCATACTCTCTCCCAGATGTCGCGATCGCCCCGCAGTCGGCTACTTGGAGATTGAAGGATAGGCATTATGACGCTCCGTTGTCGGTGCGGGAAGAACGCTAACTTCTGCGCCGGTGTCGACGAGGTAGCGGAGTTTCGTTTCAATGTCGGTGGCGTAGGGCAAACGGCTGTTTCCGCCAGCTACGGTTGCCAGGAGCACGTGCCGGCGTGACCGTTTCCCTAGTTTGTGTCCTTCTTGAAACGGCATGGTTTACGACATTTTCTGGCTTCATCTCCGTAGGTATTATGAAACCGGCACCATTCAGGGTTTTCCACCCTGTTGGGTTTAGTTTTAGGGCTACCACGCGATTTGCTGCGATGCACTAAGACGCGTTTCTGTGAAGTGCTACGTGAGTTACGACTTCGAGATTGTAGCAACTGTTTCACAGAGTTGCACAGCTTTGTCACCTCTGAATCCTGACGCTCTGGTTTGTGGCAGATAGAATATACTTTGGAGACGGGTCTGCTGGAAATCTCCAGCATTTTATCTGCTCAGGCTGCCAGGTCATCGAGTGGGACTGACTAAAGTGTCACTGACATGGTTTGCACCGGCTGTGGTAGTTTCGAAAGAAATAGTTCTCGGAAGAAACCATCGTCGAATGTTCTTGCGCCTATCACTTCTCGCATGTGTGCGAGGACTTCAGAAGCTGAGTGGCTGCCTAGCTCGATGTTACGAAGCGATTCGTCTAGACGCTGGCGACCTGTCAGATCGCTTTTCTTCAACAGTGCGGCCTTTAGAGGTGCATAAGGATCACTTACTTCAGGATTGAACATGTGTGCTTTAACATGTCTATTTAATTCCTGTGGTAGTGACCGTATAACAGCAAGAAATCGGGAATGAGTATCTGAGACGTCCTGTTCTCGAAAATCTGCCTCGGCATACAGAAACCATGTTTCCGCATTGTCTGGCCAATATGGCACGAGTTGGATCGTGTTCGCAGTCGGCTTAATACGAATAAGCTTGGGAGTGTGGTTGGATATGCGAAAGTGTAGTAAATGTATATATAGATGTTATCGAAATGAAAACAACGCACAAATATAAAGTGTAACAAACCCACCAATTCAATATCTCCTATTGGTCGGGGTATGTGATCACGTCGGGCTCACCAGTTTAGGATTTGTCCTGGTGCAAACTGGACATATGCAAGGACCAATCACCTGATTGTTCCAACTTCTTATATACCTACGAATATGAGACCAAGGGAGAACACGATAGTGTAGTCGGATGGAATAGTATATTTGGATGGTTGTGCCAAAATACAGATGCGTTCCAACTAACTGGCTAGAGAGTCGAATACGAGCATTGCAACGCAACACGACAGCGTGCCAAATGGCGAGGATGCTTGACCGGGTGCCTTCAGCTTAGGGAGTCCAGTTAAACTACCAAGGTCAGCATCAATGTCGAAAGTCGTCAAACCGTAGGCTATTGATTTTGGGGAAGTGTGTGACGCTACAATTGAAACTTAGCAACTGACTTCAGAGTGAGCAGACAGTAGCTTCAAAAGCTTTAGTATCACCTAGAGATGCCACGTTCTGCCAGTCCGAACTTACGACACAGTCAGTCGACAACCGGGTAGCACTTTCAGTATCCCACGTTAACAATGAAGAAGACATAAGGGTTATCCCAGATGGCACAAGTAACGTTCCTCACACTGGCACCTCGTGGACAACAAGACATCAGTGCCTACTGTTTCTGCCTTAGTCTTTAGGAAGTTTAACTCCTGGTCCCTTCACTGCAGTGTACAGAATATGTATTGGTCCTCAACTGGAGAAAAATTCGCTGGTCATTTCCCTACACTTGAGGAGGGACATTGACATCTAAGAAGGGGTTCGGAGGGGAGCTCAGCTGCGGCATTGCTTTACCTGAAACTCTCAGTTGTTCTTAATTTGTACCTGGTACAATGCAGAACGATAGTGAGGTGGTAGTATTGCAGTGCATCATGTCGCCCACAATCCGCTTCATCCTAGCCGATCGCTGCTGAAGTTCAGTTAGAAACACAAGCTTACAGGTCATCCTCATAGATTATGCCACGAGAAAGCGTGTTTGTTAAGTCACGCTAACTTATTTGCAGTAAGGGTGTGTAAACTGTGGAAGTGATTGGTCTCTGCGTCTGTCAATTTTGCACCAGGACAAATCCTAAACCCTTCCTGATGCTTTCAGAAGGCTTGATGCATATGTAGAGCCCTCTTGGTAAAGATGAACTGTGAACTAGAAGCCGGACATCGTCTTACAAACCATGGATTGCAGCACTGCCCATCTCAGGTAATAAATTAACTGATCATCTCTATCCTTTCAGGTTTCACTGGACTATGAAAGAGTCTGATTGTCCCAAAAGTAAAACGTATTCAACTAAGACAGACGTAGGACCCAAGAAACTGTTTCCAGCCATTTCTGCAACACGAAGTTTGAAGTTCTAATGAAGAATTCATTTAATTTACGGTAGCATTAAATGCACATGACAGCTATTGGAAGATGAATGTCAGAAACAGTAACAGTTGAGCAGCTAGTAGTTCAGAAGGCTTAAACAATCTTTATAATTCATAAAGAAGCACAATGTTCTAGCTTCTTTTTTTCCTCCCTCCCTCCTTAGTACACCCACATTACCTGCTAATTCTTCTGTAGGAACCAAACCTATGCTACCATTCACACATTTCCCAAACACTTTTCTTTCGTTCTTATTTCCCTTTTTCACCCCTCCTTTTCTTCTCCTTCCCCTTTCTCTTCCCTTATTGTTATTTTTTCTTCTTTCTTCTCTTTTTCTTTATTCTCTCTTCATTCTTTCACCACTACCTCACTATTCTCTTTCAGGCACCTACACAGACAGGAGTCACGGCAGTTCTCTAAACCTCTCAGCAACCCGTAGCTTCCTAATCACTCTACAAATTACAACTTACTAACCCACAAAACATCCACCTCACCGAAGCTAATAGCAAGAAAGCGGAGGGGATTTCCTTGTCCACTGCAGGAGTGAACCAAACAACTGGAACCAAGCCCTAAGAACTAGACGCGAAAGATCAAAAACTACCAGTTTTCTACGCTTGCACTATCAATATTGGATATTGTATTCTGTTTGTTTAAGCATTTCAACGCCGCTCGCAAGTGAAAGAAGATGTACTCTCGGTGCATATTTTGGATTTGCATTTATAGAATGTAAGAAAATGATCGAGAAAGTTGATGAAAATGATGTGGTTGTCACAATTGGAGTTTGTGCGATGGCGAAAAAGGCTATGTCAAAGCCAATGAAGGAAATTTTGAGGAGAATGGACAAGTTTCAACATATTCAGATTATTATTTTCGATGAGAAAGTAATACTAGACTCACCCATCGAATGTTGGCCTATATGTGACGCACTTGTCAGTTTTTACTCCGAAGGGTTTCCTCTTGAAAAGCTATCGCCTACTCGAAACTTCGAAAGCCATATCTTGTTAATGATTTGGAGTCACAGTATATCTTGATGGATAGGAGGCGAGTTTATGAACGTTTGACGAGAGAAGGTGTTCCAGTCCCAAGATATGCTTTTGTTGACAGAACTGTAGATAAGCCTGCTAAGGTTGTTGAACTAGATGACTCTATAGAGGTGAGTAGCTGGATACACTGAAGATAATCTAAGCGTAGGTATATAAACAAATAAATCTAAAATGAGATTGGGTTCTGCTTCAGTGCCCAATTTTCACGCTTGTATTCAATAGGTGCCTGCTGTTACCTTTCGTCCCCATTGTCTCTATCTCTTATCCTTCGCTACCCACGATTGTTCACTGTCATTACATGGACCTCATTTCAGTCTACACTAGTTACATCCTCTCCTCATTGTGATTGGAGCCTGCAGGGATGTGTGCGCGTCCATCTACTTATTCAAAAGGAGCTGCTGAGATAAACTGGCCCTTCCTAACCTCATTCTGAGAATCGGTTGTGGTCTTCTGGTGTTTTCACAACAGACTGCAGATGGCACCATGCTCGTGATGAGTGATATTATGTACTGATGACTGTCTAGTCACTTCCTGAAAGCAACCCTATCATTCTTATCATCAAACAGAATTTTGAATGGTCTTGCTGTTGTAGTTTTCCTGCACCCACTGAAGCGCAGGCTTACTTATGAGGGAACTAGCACATGGTCGCTGTTGAAAATCGTGCTCTACAATGCGAGGCAATTTTTTACCGACTGACTCTCTAATCACAACTGATAGGAATATGGTCCACCTGTGTCCATCCGCGAGATGAAGTTGGTGAACGCCACTTCAGACAATGTCTACCTTCATGTTTGAAGTCCATGTGGACAATAAATATATGGTTGTTTGAGCACAGTTGTGGCACGCAATCACCGTTATTTGTTCTTTTTACTAGGATTCTGAAAGTTGCCGAAGTGTTTTCTGCCTGACTTAGCTTATACACTTGTGCATTGAAATCACGTACAACAGTAATCACGTCTAACCGTTTAGCGGTCGGTAGGAGACTAGAGAGTTCTACATAGAACTCATCCGAACTGGAGTTAGTGGATGCGTAAGCAGAGATTACAGTGAGACAATGACGAGTTTCATTACTCTTTTTAGTCCTCACTTTGCCGTTCAGTTGAACATTGCATAGGTGATTATCAACCGTCGAGCAGTGCACTTTTCTTAGGACTTAAAACTATACCTATACCTGCTAGGACATACGAACTAGAGATTGAACCTACGGAAACTAAAGGGGTAAGTGTGCTATTTCACTATATTGACTAGGTGAGTTTAAGTGAAAAGCCATATTGGGGTTGCATCCGGTATGTATGCATCGCAAACGGGACAAATCTATAGTCCGAGATATCAGAGATCTGGCCAGGGAAGCTTGTTAGCCGATTTGATGGACGGTGCGGACATTGAGAATTACTATGTGTAGTTTGGAGCGTGGTTTCAGGCAACCAGTGATACTGTTCCGTGAAATAAATAAAGATGAAGTAGTAATGTTGATTGAGAGACCTGAAGGGAGATTATGAGGTAAGGATATTGAAAGTTGGTAATGGTCTAAGAAAAATCGATTGCTGTCTGAGTTTTGAGGATGGTTGACACTTCCTGACCCCCCGCACCATGGAAGCCTGGTTTCTTTTGGTGTTTCATGAAAAAGAAGGGTTGTTATTAGTAGTAGGTGACTGTAGAGTCCACAAGATATCCGCTTGAGGCCAGTCACGCATGACCTTTTTAGAAGTTCGCTATATCAGCTTGTTTTGGTTAGTAGGACTGTACATACATGTTGCCCCTACCAGTGTGCCGCAAAGTAGAGGAGAGTGTTCTGTTTTTAAGGCTGAATTTTTCTTGCCCCCACCTTTTCATAGGGAGGGTAGCATCAATGTGGACCTACACCTAACTGCTGCTAATCCACCATCCAGCCGGCAGCACTTCTTAGCACTCCGACCCCCATCAAAGTGTATCAGTCCACACTATAGCGAAAAATGCTTTTTATGTTATCACTATCCATCTGACCTTTCTGGTATGGTAGTCTCGAGAGGGCCAGCGTCTCACAAGCATGGTTCGTTAAGTCATTGTGATGTGCAAGCCTGACCACCACTTCATGGTAGCAGTTGTCGATCGTGACGCTCACCTCATGAAAGTTATCATTGTTAAACTGTTTTCTACTCGGCAATATCACTATCTTACGTAACCTCTATCTGCGTTACCTTAATTTTGTGATAACAGACAGTAAAGGATTGCCACTATGTAAGACTAATGTATTTTATCGCTAGTTTTTATCGGTTTCGGTAGACGTCACTATATAATGAAAGTTCGAGGTAAATTTTACTCACATGTAGTGTAGATCAGTAATTTATTCTTTTCACCTGTTGTTTACAAATCACTTTGACTAGATAAGGAGGAATTCCTGTTCAAACTCATACAAAGGAAAAAAATATTAATGGTTCAAAGCTCTGTTTATCTAAAGAGTCCTATTTGCCAATTGGACATGACAGTCGACATAAGTTTGCCTAAATAAAAATGACGTATTGTAGTTCCAGCTATCTTTGATGCAATTTCGAAATTCGTATCGTCGTCGAGAGTTAGTCGTAAAGTGCTTTGGTTCACATTATTTTGCATGGTGCATTTCTTGTTACCCTTGCTGTACCATGTTTGTGATCTAATAGCACTTATAATGTGTTGCTTTGGTTCGTACTGGTGTGTTTAGACCTAGTCACTTTGAACCGGGTACTTTTGACAAGTGTACGTTTGGCCACGTTTTTCACTAACTGTAAATATATTTTATCAGTATTTCTGGTGTTTTATTGCACATGCATAGGTGCAGAGTTCGTAGTGCTATTTATAAAGTCCTACTTTTGGCAGCATACGCACTCTTTGCGTGTGCTAGGACTGTGAGTTGTATATCAAGCACCGCTTTGAAGCAATGCAGATAAGTAGAGGACAAATAGAGTGGTTTTTTAAAAGAATATCGCTACGCGACTCAGAATAGTTGGATTCAGAAATCATCAGTTAAAACTCACCTATAGAGCGTGTTGTTAAATAGTGATGAAATATTAGAATATTTATCATCACGCAGTGAATTTTAAGATGTTATTCCTGTCTACCTCTATGACAACTCTTCATTTTTGATACACTGCTTTAGGTAATCTGTTTGATGTGAATTTTTCGGGTATCTAACTTATCGCCATAGGTTCACAAAAGGTTCAGTGCATGCATCAATAATATTGAATTAACTTTAACCTTCAGGCTAACTTGAATCAAGTATTCATTGCTTTTATAGATAAATGGCGAGGTTTTCCACAAACCATTCGTTGAAAAACCTTTGGATGCAGAAGACCATAATGTGTATATATACTTTCCTAGTAGTGCCGGAGGTGGTAGTCAACGTCTTTTTCGAAAAGTTGGAAATCGTAGCAGCAAGTACTTCTCACATAGTAATATACGAAAAAATGGATCATATATGTATGAAGAATTTATGCCAACAGATGGTACTGATGTAAAGGTATGCTTATTTTACTATGAAATATTCGGCCACCTTGTGAATCGGTTGTGCAAACACACTCCGCTTAGTTGCTAGGGCAAGTAAACTTCATAGCAGATTGTTCATGTGAATGAACATTTTAAAAATATTAAAACTGCCACTTACATGTTGTTTGTAATATTTGTATTCTTTATAGTTTCTGAGGAGTACTCAACTGCTGTTCGTAAATATAATTCAGTTTGTCACGAGTATGAGAAAGATGTTGGTGGTAGTGAAATTCATCCATGGTTTCCTTGTGAAACAAATATGAAAAGCGTCATATGCACCACATGATGTAGTGCAGTGTGTCTCAGCAATGTAAACACTGGTATCTGAACGTTTATTTCTTTAAGGCTGAACTGAGACTTATCAGCCTTGACTTGAGACAACTTGATCATAAGTCAGAAGTAACTCAACCTAATTCATTCACGACTACCAAGTAGTATCCTGAGCTGTCAGTTGTTAAGAATAGCTCGTAACCTAGAAAACGAAAATGCCAAATTACTGAATTCATTATTTCTCGAACACTTTTGTAATTAAATGGGATGCTTTGTTCTTCATAGCTTCCCATTTTATTTCCCAATCATTTTTTGAATTCGGCAATTAGTTACTGGTGAGGAGTTAAAGGACACTTTACATTACTATTTCAGTAATAAAATAGCGTGGTATGAGTAAGCAATTCTTAAAAGCAAGGAAAATATATCTAGCTCAAGATGAAGATGATGGGGGTTTGGTGTTCTCTAAACTTTGATGTTTAGTCGGGAACGTTTCTTCAGAGTTGATAGAGTTGTGAGGGCGGTTAACACTTCCCGGCTGCCCACACCGTGGAAGGCCATTTCCTCTTAAGGTACCTGAAAGAGATTTGGGTGAGGACAAAGCCCGTCGGACATCTGCTTGAGGCCTGTCACACGCAGTCTTGTGTATGGTTATTTTGAACTTTTGTTGTTTTGGGGTCGGATGGTCGAAAAGAAACGAAAACTGAACCAACACCGCCGGTCTGGTTGACCGTGGAGCATGGTGAAGTGTTATTTCGGGGCCGACTTTTTCAGCATGGCACTGCTGGTCATCCAAGGGAAACACCTTACTGCTGTCACACGCCATCCAGCTAGCAGCAGTACGACTTCGCCCTCAGACTCCCATCATAATGTAGTAATTTACACCACAACGGTAACTGCTTTTTGTCTAACCATTATCCAACAAACCCTTCTGGTGTGTTAGGACCTCGAGGTAACCAGTGTTCCACCAGGATAGCTTGTTGAGTCATTGTGATATGCAAGCCCGACCACCACGTCAAGGTAACGGTTATCGGTCGAGAAAAGATAAGTCAGTTGACACGGTTGTAAACTTCATCGACTGAGATGGTTGGGACATGTGTTACGTATGCCTAGTCGCCGTCTGCCTCGTCACAATGTTGGCTGAAGTAGGTCCAGGCTGGAAAAAGACCCGAGGTGACCAGACTAAAACGTGGCATAAATGTATGAAGTTTCTGACTGTTGGTTTGAGCCATGTAGGGCTATACAGACTAACCGGTTAGAGTCCAGGGAACAAGAAAAACCAGTCGTTGGAGACTAAGTGATGGCATGGCTCAGAACCGATGTCAGTGGCGCAGATGTATACACATATTATCCTGATCTTAACGATATACCGAATCTCACCATTTTCTCATTCTTACTTCCTCTCTTTTCGTACTTTATATTTCTTTTGACTTAATTTTCTTTTCTTTGTCTTTCACTTCACTGCTCTTACTTGATGTACTGATATGAGGTGTGGCAACTCGGACCGTTACACAGCAATGGCTGGTCCTATATTGATTTTGATAATGATGATGAACGTTTCTTCACTAAGTCTGGTGGTTAAACGTTCACGACAAAATATCAAAACTCACGGAACATCAAGCCACCGTGATTCTTGAAAGCGCTTCTGATAGATAGCTCTACAATTATCGCTTTGTATGTGATCATTCAGTATTCTTGTCATGAATGTTCTTAGATACGATTGTTAGCGACTTATAATTGCAGTTATTTTTGGATGTAAGACAATTTGTTGTCACTAAAGTTGCATAGATAGGTCCTTCCTATTCGATGTTCAATATGTGTGCCAGGTCAGTAGTATACTAGTCTAACTAAATTAACTAGTTTTTATTTCCAGTAAGTATTCTGTAAATATCATGCAGAACTTCATGAACCGTAAACACGAATGCGTACAAAAAATCAAAGAAGGCATCATGAATGAGCAAAGTAGTTATGGTATGGCGTAAAAATTACGAAGAATATTAAGTAAACACGAATTTAAAGCTTGTCGTCGGAAAACAGACACTCAGAAATGTCTTAGTATATACAAAAGATTAAATGCATTTCATCTTTATACAGAATTGTATCTGCAGGTTAGGCTGCGTTGTTTATGGACGATTGGCCTACGAAGTCTCGTTCCTTCTGAAAAGCATACAAGCTACTAAAAACGATTACTAAATAATTTTGCAGAACTAGAGATTTGACAAATACTGGTTGCAACTTACATCCATTCCATCTTCCGCAGTCGCAAAGTTGACGCTGAATACGTCAAAATGATTCCTAGAGGATTTCGAAACTATAAGGAAAAACATGTGGCTCCAGATTTCCGTATTATGTTTGGTTTAACTTGGACAGTATCTGTCGAAAAATGTACATACCAGCCGTAACTAAGTTCGCTTCAAGCTTGTGTGCGCAAACAGACAAGGGGAATTTCTTATAATGCTTTTCTGGTGCTTATCACAACCATTTACGTATGCGTAATTCAAATTATTGACATCATCCTGTTGTTTTTGTTCTCATTTGTGAACACCGTGATCTAATTTGTTTGATTTATTGGTAACTTGTCAAGGTTTTGTTGTCTAAAGAAACAGCTTCCATGGGTCCGCAAAATGTCAGACCTTTACTTTTTTACATCACTGGGATTTTGAAAATATATTTCTTTCATAAACTATTTAACGAATGCACACCTTATTTTATCATGTCCTGATGTGTTAAAAATTCATATTACTTGTTTTGCTCAGGTTTATACAGTTGCAGATGACTATGCTCATGCTGAGGCTCGAAAGTCACCTGCTTTAGATGGCAAAGTGGAGCGTGATCACGAGGGCAAGGAAGTTCGTTATCCTGTTATCTTAACACCTAGGGAGAAAATTATTGCCAAAAAAGTGGCGAAAGCTGTACGTCAACAGATTTGCGGATTTGATCTACTTCGAGCTAATGGCATGTCGTATGTTTGTGACGTAAATGGCTTTTCCTTTGTAAAATCCTCTAAGAAGTACTATGATGATTGCAGTCACATCTTAGGTGTACTAATTACACGTAAAATTGCTCCACGTTTGTGTCTTCCAGCCTATTTACCACCAGGTACGGATGTCGACACACCGCTAGTACCAACAACCTGTGGAACTATAATGGAACTTCGCTGTGTCATCGCAGTTATTCGTCATGGCGACAGAACACCGAAACAGAAAATGAAAATGGAAGTTTGTCATGAAAAGTTTTTCTCCTTTTTCACTAAATACGCTGGTGGTTGGGCTCATGAATTAAAAATTAAGCGTCCTACTCAGTTACAAGAGGTCTTGGATATCGTGCGGTCCATTTTGGATGAAATTGATTCTGGTCATTGTACTGATAACCGTCTTCTTAGAATCAAGCCAAAGTTTGAACAACTTAAGTAGGTGCTCACCTTTCTCTGTATACTGTGTCATTATTCGTAATTGTAATGTCCATTATTTGTATGCATGAAGTTTATGAGGACATATTGGCTCACGTGCTGGTTTGTAAATCTGTCCTTTTTGAATGACTATTTTTCCTGTCCTTTCGCTGAAGGAGGTTTATGGAGAGGCGTTTTAAGTGATCAGAAGTTAGTTATATGACTCATTGATCTACAACAGGAGCATGAAAACATGGATGTTGTATATTGTTTCCATTCTCAATCAGATGCTCGCAGATCATTTATTTTACTACTTATGCTCCTCGAAACATATTGGTTAAGAACGATGTTCTGTTTCTAACTATCTATGTCTCTTCACCCCAGAAAACCTTCAGCTGTTCTCAAAATTGGTCGCAATGACGCAGAAGCATACGTTCTTTATCATCTTCGAAGTCTGGAGCATCTTATTAACCTTTGTCTCCATACTCCCTTTATTACTAAGACAATCATCACCATTTCGATCTCCCGTTACTTAAATTTAGTTTTCCTCATGGATTGCAGTTTATATATATATATATATATATATATATATATATATATATATATATATATATATATATATATATATATGAATGTTAAGCTTGAAAATAAATTCGTTGCAAAGAGTCCCCTTCAATAAATACCTTGTTTTAACGTTACTGCACATTGACGGGACTTAACTTCTGCATGAAGATGTCCGCTGAATTTTTGCGATCTATCATCACTGTTTTCTTAGTATCTTTAGCTTTCAGTGCGAGTTGGTAAAGTTTTGGTTGGCCGGTGGTTTGTATCTGATCAGTCGAAGGAATTAATATAAGCACTTTGGTTGGTTGAATACATTTTACCCACAATACCTAAGGAACATTTATGAGGATCGCTGTTGGCAGACCTTAGCTCTTATATAAAAAAAAAGCAGTGGTAATTAGTCTACGCCGAAAGACTGGTGAATTATGATTGTGTTAGTTGAGCATTTGTAGGCAAGCTTTCATTCTAGGGATGATGTAACGCAGTGTTTGCTAACGTTTTCAGATATCAGTACCAACTGTTATCTTTTACGCAGTTCAGACAATATGAGCTAAACAAAGATTAATGGGGTTGTACTTGATTAGGTTCTTATTAGGGGTTTCTTTCCACTTTATTTCAATTTCTGATGAGATTACTCGAGATTATTTTGGCTGGTAGATTGGTATCTATGTAGTATTGATAACTACTGTTGAAACAGAAACCCACATAACTACTGAATTTAAACAAACTGCATTTTGGTTACCGAGTTGCCACTGTACTTAGATACTAGACCTAACCGAATATTAGGCCACAATTTCATCTTAGTTTTTGTTGACTGTAATAGTCTTTATCATCCTGTGTAGTCGCTTTCCATCGTGTTTACACTGGAGTTGTTTTATTTAATGAAGCGCATATTTGGGCTCACTGTGTGACATCATGTTCTCCTGTTCCTATGGAAAAGTTTACTTTGGAGAGCTAATGGTGAATGTTCATTCCCCCTAGATTACATAACTAGCCTCAGTATACATTAATTTCCACGTGAAAGTAACCATTCGTATTTGCCATAAAACTTCAAACAGCTTGATTGACAGAATAAACATACTCAGCTATTTGAAATTATCACGTTTTGTTCTTGTTATCATTGTAAAAGCAGCTGGGAAATGGCGTTTTGTCGTAAGATACCCATTACCGTTCATTTTCTTCCATTTTAATTCCTTAATAGATATGTTTTGGAAATGTATGGATCGTTTAGTGGAATAAATCGCAAAATTCAGTTAAAATATCAGCCACATGGACTGGGTAAAGGATCAAAGATAGGTTATTGCAGTAAGTTAATTAACCAGTCATGTTGTATTCAGTGTTTTGATGAAAGGTAAACTTGTGGTTAATTATTTGTACTGTATGAGCATCAGTAAGTTAGTATATTTTTTACTGTTCAATGTTTTGTATTTTCATTCAGTAACTTACCCTAGTCAAATTATTTAGCCAGCGGTTTCATTACAATTCTGGAAACGTGCAGTTTTCAAATTTCCAATAAGTCAGACAGTAGTCTTCAAACATGTTTACTCATGAAATGTTTCCTTCAGACAAGCTGGATATCTATAAATCATTTCAAAACAGCAATCATCTATCCCCCATTACTTTGTTTTATTTCGTACTGTTAGTGAAATGGCTTATAACGCGAAATAACCTTACATAACTTGTTTTGTCTTACTGTACAAATATCATTGTCTTTTGATTATGATATTTCACTCCTCTTTGATAGTGGTCCGGTGTTCTTTGAGCTTTGGTATTTAACCGTGGACTTTTTATCAGCAGGTTTAGTGGCATCCATATCAAACTTGCATCTAATGTCTAAATACGATACGATTATATGTAGGTAGTGGTTTTTGAAATGTCCTCCCGTAAACAACTATGTGTGGACTGCCAAATAAGTAAAACTGATATGGGAGTTACTCAGCGTTTATTTCAGCGAAGATTAAGTCTCTCCGGCTGAAATTCAAAAGACAACATAGTTCTGTAATCGAGAACTCTAAGTAATGTAATTCAAAACTAAAGATGGTAAACCAGGTGTTCATTCTAATCGTACTATAAGCAATGAATAGAACTTTCTATATTCATTCATTCTCAATCCTTCTTTCCTTTCCGTTTCTTCTACATTATTTACTCTCTTCACCATTTTTCGCTATCGTCATACTACTTCTGGTATTCCTTCATTCTTAATTTTTCGTTCATGGGCTGCTTTAAGTAGTTATAAGTTAAGCAAGCGGAGTATCGCACCAAACTCTGCGTTTTACTAGTCTGTTATTACTTTTTCTCCGCTAGTTTACTTGTTCTTTCTGGTTTATAGCCCACTTTTCTGTGGTGATGTGACAAACATGAAATATTTAAAAATAACTGCACTTTTTTTCTTTTCACAAGCGTTGTGATTTACACAAACGCAGTCAGCATATGGTCGCACAATTTTCATATTGGGTCGTATAGTAAGGATATGGGAATCTATTTTTACAAGGTTTATTTCATGTATGCTAAGGTGCAAAAGAAAAATTTTTTCCAATGACATTGTAAAACACAATGTACTCTAATTAGATAACTAAAAAAGAAGTACAAAATGAAGGAAGTACCCCTGATTGATCCGTAACAAAATTGGATTGTTTCGTGAATTCAAACATTTCTTGCATGTTAACCTTGAATTGTATGCCACTTCGATCGCACTTTAATTTTATTCATGTAATCAAGTCAACATTGGATATGATATGTATTTTTAATTGAATTGGTTGCTTACTGTTTTAACCTATGCCACTGTTACACTGGTTATTTTAGATACTACATCTGAAACCAGTCTTGTGTTCGTATTTTATCTAACTTTCGTATGAACGACTAGTCTCTCACAAAGCAGTCGATCACTCATGTATCTTCATTTTTACTTAAATGATTAGATTAAACGTTATTCATTGAGATACTAATCATTACTCAGATCATAATGAAATCTAAAACATCAGGTCTAACACTTAGAATTACGGTGTACAATATTATAGCAGTGCGTTTTAAACTAGATATAGAATTTGGATTACCTTAAATCTGTTTTCTTACCATAAGCATTTGTGGTTTCCTTCAGGCTACAACTGCAATCTTAGTAACTGCGTTGGATTCTTCGTTTCATTGAGAGCATTCTCACTCATTATTCTGATCTCACTTATGTACCTTTAATTCATTATATTAGTTCCCTGATATCTTAAGGTGTAAGTAGCTGAACCGATGCATTGGGTTGTTTGATCACTGCTGATGACTCACTGTCTAGGGACGGCAATATTCGTTTTGCGTTAGCATACGTTTCCTTATCTTCATACGTACAGTGTAATTAGTGCTATCCCAATAGTCATGACATCATAAAAAAATAACAAAAGACAATTCAAAATTAGCATTCTCGCCTCTTGTCCCTACTTTTTGTACCTGTTCTATTACAGATTATCGTGTTAACCATTCAGCTATTACCTTGTAGTCTTATAAAAAAATTTGATCACCTTGTGGCCAAAATCATCTTGTGAAAATTGCCAATTTTTGATGATCTTATATTGACCCATTAGCCATCGATGGACATTTATTTTTGTTGTAACTGTAAATACGAATGTACAGCTTCTGAAAATGATTCGTCAAAAAAGAAAGTTTCTTGACTGAACTGTCTTTTTGTTAATTTTTCACTATCTCAGTTTGAAAATGGCATCCAACATTAGCTAGAACTTAACGCAATATTTTTTTACTGAAATTTTTTGACCTGCTGCTGCTCAATACTCCATAACGTTTACCAAGTCGCAAAACCATGAGGCATGAGTAAACGGTAGTTTTTGTAATCCGTGTTCATGAAATATGTAAACTAGGTAGGCATATAGTATTTCTTCGCGATACATTTTATTTAATAAACCGTTTTTTCACTATATTGATAGTATATTTCAAAATATTCGTGCTACGTTTTATCCAGGTGGAGCTTTGGCATCATGTGACACTGCTGATGGAGCATGCAGTGCCCAACCCACTTTGTTGGTTGTAGCAAAATGGGGTGGAGAGTTAACAGCTGCGGGCAAACAACAAGCAGAAACTTTGGGCAAAGCTTTTCGTTGCATTTATCCAGGTGGAGATGGCCATTATGGTAAAGATCCTGGACTCGGTTTGTTGCGTTTGCACAGTACATATCGACACGATCTAAAGATATACGCATCTGATGAAGGTCGAGTTCAAATGACAGCAGCAGCTTTTGCTAAGGGCTTCCTGGCATTAGAAGGTGAACTACCTCCGATACTTGTTCAGATGGTCAAATCAGCTAACACAAATGGTCTTCTAGATAATGACAATGATTGTCGTCATTACCAACAGATGGTGAAACGCCGAATCAATGAAGTAATGTCGAAAGACAGTGATTTCACAGCTGAGGATATTGCCACTCTTGTACCTACTGGCGCACGTTCTATAGTGAATGCAATGCATTATGTAGACAATCCACATAGAGCATGTGATAGATTGTTTGAACATGTCCGTTTGTTATCTAATCGTCTTGCATGGCTCTCACGAAGTGCCAAGGAACGAAGTCGAATACACCTGTATCAAGGTGAAAGCTGGGACTTGCTGCTACGGCGTTGGGGAAAGCTTTTGAAAGATTTCCGATCTCCTGAGGGTGAATATGATCTATCGAAAATTTCAGATATATATGACAATATAAAATATGATTTGCAACATAATTCTGGTATTTTGTTAGAGTCTGAAGTACAAGATTTTTTCATGTGTGCCAAGTCACTGGCTGATATTATTGTTCCACAGGTAATTTGACAAGCGTGTGTATATTAATCAGGATTGTTCAGGCGATAAATTTTTACAAGTTCATTTCATCCCCGTTGTTCTGATTTTTATTCTGAAGTTCATAGTCATTTGGTGATTTCTGTTGTCATATTTCCTGATCGTATGCAAAAATTGGGGAAAGTTGACTAGGTGAAAAAACAAAGTAACTAGAGGGATGAAGACACAAATTAGGTCTGCTTCGCATAGAAATATGGTTTGGAAACTTCTCTGTTAGCACTAACCTATGTTCACATTTCTAAACGACTCATGATAGTTGGTTTTTTCTTCTTATTAGTCCCTTGGGTTTCTAGTGGAACATAGGGCTTCAGTAGCACGCCTCCAGTGACCTCTGTTCTCTGAGATCTTTTGAACCTGGTCCCACGACAGCCCAGAAGCTCTCATTTCCTCCTCGCATGACCTCCTCCATGTCACCCTCGGACGTCCAACTCGTCGCTTCCCATGGGGATTCCACTCGAGGGCCTGACGCGTGATGTCCTCAGTCGGCCTTCTCAGTGCATGGCCAATCCATCTCCACTTCTTCCTGCATATTTGTTGCGTGATAGGTTCTTGGTTGGTTCGTTCCCAGAGTTCCTTGTTGCTTATTTTTTCTGGCCATCTGATCTTCAGCAGCGAGCGTAAGCAGTTGTTGATGAATGTCTGTAGTTTATTGGAAATACCTTTCGTGACGCGCCAAGTCTCTGAGCCATACAAGAGCACTGACTTGACGTTGGTGTTGAAAATCCGTATCTTGTTCCGCATGCTGAGTGCAGAAGATCTCCACACTGGTTTCAGGCTAATGAACGCCTGTCTTGCTTTTCCGATTCTGACTTTGACGTCCTCGTCCGTCCCGCCTGTAGTTGAAACAGTGCTTCCTAGATAAGTGAAGGAGGTTACTTCCTTCAAGTTTCTCCCGTTGACGGTGATTGGAGTTTGTTGTTGTTGTTGATGGTGGTGGTGCGGTATCTTCATCACTTCTGTCTTCTCTATATTCACCTGAAGTCCCGTCTTCGCTGCCTCTTCTATCAACTTGTTAGTTTTTGCCTGCAGATCTTCAAGTTTATGTGACATTAGGCATAAGTCATCGGCGAAATCCAAGTCTTCTAGGTTCTTTTCCGTCGTCCAGTGTATCCCCCTCTTCTCGCTGCCTACTGTTTGCTGCATGATCCAGTCCACCACAATAAGGAATATCATGGGGGATAGTAGGCAACCTTGTTTCACTCCTGTCTTCACTTCAAAGGCATCACTGAGCTTCCCATTGTGGATTACTTGGCATGTGGCATCTTCATATAGTTGTTGAATGAGGCGGATAAAGGTTTGCGGTACTCCGTAGTATTGAAGCAGTTTCCAAATTACTTCTCGGTCGACGCTGTCAAAGGCCTTCTCAAAGTCGATGAAGTTGAGGTAGAGAGCTGATTGCCATTCTATGCTCTGTTCTATGATGATACGAAGCGTTGCAATTTGGTCTGCACATGATTTGTACTTCCTGAAGCCTGCCTGTTCCGGTCGCAGTTTTGAATCCAGTGCGTCTTTAAGCCTCTCCAGGATGATGCGGCTTAATATTTTACTTGGGGTGGACAGGAGAGTGATTCCGCGCCAGTTCTTGCAAGCACTGAGGTCTCCCTTCTTCGGCAGTTTGACAAGGTAACCCTTCTTCCAATCGTCAGGTACCTTCTCTTCCTTCCACACCTTCTGCAATAGTGGTGTGAGCATGTCCGCTGTTGTCTCTGCATCTGTTCTCAGTGCTTCTGGCGGTATTCCATCTGGTCCTGCTGCTTTCCCACATTTCAGTAGCTTTATGGCGTTCAGGACTTCCATTTTCGTTGGGGGATTAATGTTCACTTGTAATTCAGCGGCTGCAGGTGGTATTTCTGGACGAAGTGCAGGTGGTGGTCGATTCAAGAGCTTCTTGAAGTGGTCGGCCCATCGTTTCCTCTGTTTCTCTTCTTTTGTAATTAAATTTCCTTCTTCATCTTTTATTGGTTTCATCTGTGTTGGTCTCTTCCCTGATAGCAACCTGGTTATTTGATACAATGTCGTCAGGTCTCTCTTACCTGCAGCCTGTTCTGCTTCACTTGCCAGTGTTTCGTAGAAGTGTCTTTTGTCTTTGCGTGCACTCTTCTTCACTTCTTTGTCCAGTGTTTTATACATTGTGCTCAGTTCCTCTTGTCGTTGAGCATCCTTGCACTGGTTTATCTTCTGCTTCACCATCCTCCTCTCCTCTATCAGCTTCCAGGTATCCGTCGAGATCCATTCCTTGTCTTCTTTCTTCTTCCTTCCTAATACTGTTGTGCAGGTTTCTTTCCACATAGCTTTCAAAGACTTCCAGTGTTCTTCCACACAGGTTTCTTCAGGGATGTTCCTCGATGTCTCCCATTTTGTCTTGATGGCTGCCTTGAAGATCTCCTTTGTAGTTTCATCCTTCAGTTTCCGAGTGTTGTACTTGAATTGAGGTCTATCACCAGCTTCCTTGAAGGCTTTTAACTTGATTTGGAAGGTTCCTTGCACTAGATAGTGGTCTGAACCTACATCTGCTCCTCTTCTTGACCTTGTGTTAAGTAGACTGCGTCTCCATTTTCTTGAGATTGAGATAAAGTCGATTTGATTTTTAGTGTGTCCATCTGGTGAAGTCCATGTCGCTTTGTGGATATCCTTGTGCCTGAACACACTGCCTCCAATCACCAAATCGTTGAATGCACAGAATTCTGCAAACAATTCTCCATTCTCATTCATTTCACCTAGCGCCTCTCGACCCATGGTTAGTTCTCTTCCTGTGTTGTCCCCTCCCAGTTTGGCTGGCATTCATGTCGCCCATTAGAATTTTGATATCGCCAACTGACGTCTTGTCCAGTGTTGATTGAAGTTGTCTGTAGAACTCCTCCTTTTTCTCTTGCTCTGCATTATTTGTAGGTGCATAACATTGTATGATTGTGACCTTCCTTCCTTTTGAGTTGAATCTTGCTGTCATGATCCTGGAGGAGGAGATTGGTTCCCACTGCATGAGAGCCTTCGATGCTGTTGGGGACATCATGGTAGCCACTCCATAACTCAGTGTGCTCGTGGTTGTCGTCTGGGTGACAATATCAGAGTAGATTATTGATTCTCCAGTTGACAGTTTGGAGAGTCCACTCCCATTCCATCTGCTTTCGCAAATCCCAAGCACTTCGATGTGATACCTTCTCATCTCCTTTGCAATCTGGGCTGCCTTACTGGGTTCAAACATGGTGCGGACATTCCATGTCCCCACGTTTACTTTCGCTTTCATCGAGGGAGAGAAGACACATCGGCCAATTGGTTTCCCGAAGGCTTTCACCAACTGGCGTCATTTCGCCTCTCCGATTCCAGCGGGGAATAAGTTTGTTTTCATTTTTTATATTTTGTTTGTGCGGGTATTTATACATTGGTTTTCCAGGAGGGAACAGAACACACATCTAGGCTTTTAAAACCAGGACGGTATACAGTCTCATCCTGTGGCGCAACCAAGAAGGGAATAATACCATTTTATCAACAGGAAATTCACACATGGTGAGGTTTAGGTGTAAGATGACTGACTGGTTTGTTTCTACGCTGCTGGTGCTTATCTTCCTTCTTACCACCATTCCTTCTGGCTATAAATTGGTGCACACAAGTCAGTAAACTCCAATCAGTAGAAAGATAAAATCATTGTTTGCATCAGTGTTAAAGTAATGTTCAAATGAAATGAGCAACCTTTTTGTGCACCATTGTGTATTTGTCAGTGTGACCTTGATTTGAAAGTCGTTTCTATCAAGGATTTGATATCAGCTAAAGAATCACTGAAAACGTGATAAAATTAAGCAACCGTTTCATTTCAGCTTACAGCACTATTTTTTTTTCCATCACTACTAGTTGATGGTTATAGTCACTTTATTAATTTCTTATTACAGGAGTACGGTATAACTGCAGAAGAAAAACTCGTGATTGGTCAACGTATTTGTACTCCACTTATGCGAAAAATCCTTTCCGATGCGCGTTACACTGACGTCGATGAATGCACACGATTGCATGCTGGGTGAGTGTGTTTATTTCTCTGTTTATTTATTTAGTCCATCTTTCTCATTACTTCTGTTGAAGTTGTACACAGTTTTTTTCTTTCTTGTAACGAAAATAAATTGATCACCAAAGTGGTTAACTTTGTAAAGTAACAGTGCTTTTTCATGTTTACGTACATTTTTACAGTTTGTTAGTAAATGTGTTTGCCTGCTCCATGTCTGCACAAGTTAACTTGACTTTCATAGCATTGGTAGCTTTCAGATAATGTCAGTAGCACATATGGAGGTATGTGCTTTCAAATGCCATTGTTTATTATTTTTATTATGCTTTTTACTCTGTTTTTGGTTATTAAAGGCAGCTATGAAACAAGATCATTTCTGTGTGCTTCAGATAACCATCTTTTTCACCTTTTAAACAAAACTTGTAGTCTGTTTTTATGTTTTTTTTCACGTATTCTGTCAAACACTAAAAACGTTTCTCCACATTACAGTTGTAGTAGTTTGTTTTGTGGGTATTCTAAATAGTTTTGCAGAAAACAGAGTATTTTCTGTATTTCTGATAATAGAAATACACTCTCAGCATGATATCAGAAGCAGTATCTAAACGACCGTTAAATTGAAAATACCTATATATATATATATATATATATATATATATATATATATATATATATATATAATATCATATCTAAAATTGATATAGCGTAAGCATCTAGTGTCAGTCAATTTGTCCATCTGCGTATGTCTACCTGTTGGGTATATTATTCACTTAGAATCATCACTCAGTATATACTCAGAAGTGGTATTTTGCACTACCAGATGCTAAGAATTCTGTACCGTAAACAAAAATATGGTTCACAATAAAGTCAAGATATCATCATCATGATTGATTATTACAACATGATATACAGATATACGCTTCAAGACTTTTGAATAACCATCTTCATGTGTCACTCTTGATGGTCGTTCAGTTCCTCGAAAACAGAAAGAAGCAATGAAATGGTAAAAGGTTTATTGTCAAGTAGTATTTACTAAACACAATGGTATTTATATCATATGTCTACAGCAACCTCGGTTATCTCTGCACGTTCCTGGGACCATCGTTTTCACTGATTTATCTAATCAGATATTCACATATCCTATTATGTGGTTATCTGGGAACTTCTAATTAGATCTGATTGTTGTTTAGTATTATCGACTATCTCTGGTTTCTTTGAGGGATCTATCAGGATAACACTATCTGTGCTTCCTAGCCAGACTTCATCCACTCTTAAGTTGCGTTAAAAAGAAATTAAAATAGCTTTGGAAACAATTGCAGTGATGCAGAGGAGCATTTTTAACCACGAAATTCGAATATACATCAAATATGTTATAAATAAAGTAATACAATTCCATACATCCATTCCCGTTTATGAACTAAAAGAAAGAAAGTGCAACAACTTGAATGGAATAATATTTTACCGTTCTGTTAAATACGTTTCTCTTAAGCTGCTCACAACCTGAAATATCAAAATATAACGATCATAACTGAAGTTCACTGAAATACTTTCAGTCAGCAGTTAAAGTGGAAATTTTGTAGTGAGAGACCATTATAATGAACCGAAAACAGGTAAAAAAGCATATCAAAACTTCATAATCATGTTCAGCAACCAATTGAAAATTCTGGCAGAAGGAACAGGGGTAACAACAAAATATTGTGGGGCTGAGGATGCAAGATTGCTTAAGTGAGCTAATCAGTAGGTCAGAAAATTTCTGAGACTTATTGAGTTTGACTGGTTTGAAAGTCAGTATGAAATACACAAAGTTTGTCTAAACGGGAGCAAAAGTTAAGAAATGCATTACATAAAAAAGATAATGTAATCAGATGACATAAACGTTTAGGAATTAGTCTACCAAGGTACAGAGAGACTGCGTTTTTTAGCTATGACTTCAAACAAATTTAGAAGATTTAATCCCCTCCGTTTGTGTATGACTTGTAATGATTTTACCACATCTACCTGTGCCCATGTGTGAATCAGGTGACAAGCCACTGTACTACTGAAAGTGTTTTTTGAAAATCTCAGACGAGTGTGTCCATTTTTTCTCTGTACCTGCCTTGGTAGCTACATGTAAATTGATACATAAAAAGGGCATCTGTTGACTTGGACTGTTTGATAAATTACGACCGACTTGGCAAGCAATAACTTGGCTATTAACTTACCTAATTTTGCATCATGGTATTTTGACATGTCTTTTTACTTGGTTCTGGTCGGTTGAAATAGTGTCTGTTTAAAAAATTTCCATTTTGACTACTGACCGAACGTATTTCCAGTGGACGGATGTACGTTTGGATTTCTATTACGATTTTTATATTCTGATATTTTAGTTTATGGGCAACTGAAGAGAAATGAATGAAATAAAACAGGCAGAAAAAAAGTTCAATCGTCTGGTATTTTTAAACGTGTATTGTTTATTTATGCAAACATTGGAACTATATGTGATCTGTAGATAGTTGATTAGTTCGGTTTCACCTCTTACCAGTCACTGCATTTCGCTGCTACGTCATGACTACGGCAACGATTTTCACCACTTCGGTTTTATTGGCTAACATCCTCCCGAACCTAAAGCTTTAGCTTTTTTATTGTAATATATACATATATATAACAGTTTACTCTACCAATTATTGTAACTTCACTGGATGAGTGGTAGTTAGGTAGGATTACGTTGCGAGAAAGCTGTGGATAATCAAACCTAGATGTATTATCTCATAGTCATTTACTGTTTATCTTAGCTGTGTAGAGTAGCTTAGATTATATATTCCAAGTTTCTGGTTGGAGACTGATAGAAAATTAGTCAAATTAATGCTCATGTTTTTTCCGGAATTTTGAATATTTTATTGACTTTCATCCATTTATTCGTATCGTAACACTTTTATTTGTTCGAAAAATCGTAACTTGAACCATTGCCATTCAGTGCAGTTTTTCAGTGTTTATACCATTCCACTCTTCCCTTATCGTGGCTTGTGCAAATACGTGTTATTTCTCCTTGATACTAATTTGTCATAGTTTGAGAGCAGTGGTTTTGAAACACCCACGGTGTTCCTGTTTTCGTCATCACTTATTAAGATGTTGTACTAGTAGTATAAGCGCTAAGTTACTCATTGCAGGACAGTCACTTCAGTACCAAAGCTATATAAATAGAAGTCTTAAATTATATATTCCCTCCTAATGTCATCATAATGGTTTTTGACCTTCTGTTTTGTTTCAATCAGGTGTTTAGATACTTATAAACCCCTTTTCTGTGATAATCAACTCAGACCTCTCGAGTGATTGTTTAAAAAGTTTTGTGGAATGAATAAATCAAATAATTGTTAGTATTTATTGAGATAAAAAGGTTCATACGCATTTGCATTCTGTGTATGAGCCGGACTACACAAAGTATCCAATCACCTGCTTCTCCTGCCCAAATTTTTACGTTATTGAGGGTTAAGTGGTGCTAGCTTATATATTCTGCTTTTGATATGTCTATGTAGTGTGACAGGATATGTTTTCGTTTTTGTGTAAATTTTGCCATTAGTAATAATGCAAGAAAAGTGTTTATAGGTTCTCTGGTAAGGTATGTAAATCTTTAACCTTGGATTAAGAATCAGGCCCTAAAAGATAACGTTTTCGTCCTGTTTTTCAAAGCATATTCCATTTGTAATTACTGTAAACTTTTCAATACACGATTTCGTTATTTGGTATGTTTCGTCAGAAGGCGGTGCAGTACAACAAGTTCAACAGTTTTAGTAGACCTGTGATTAACAACATGAAACAGGTATTATGCGTAATATAAATGATGTTTAACAAAAGACAATCGAGCGAGGGAAATTTTCTTTTCAACGAATGACTTTTCGAAGCAGTAAATTTGTATTCATAACGAGGAAATGTATTCATCAATTACTAAAAGGTCAACACAAAGTTATTAAAAATCTGGTCTAGGCTGCATTCGTGAATTGTTTCTATAATCATCCTGACTGTGCAAGTATCTCTGCCACTATATCTTCTTTACATTCAGTCTTTATCAATATTGTGTAGCTCTCAATACATTTTGAAGGGCTGTCGTTCTCAGTCAGCACTTCTCGGAGAACTTCCAGCTCCTGGTTTATCGCATCATCTCAGCAAAGTTTTTTTAACTCTTGTCCCTCACTGGGTGTCCCGCTTAGTGGAACCAAACTTTGAAAATTGGCATGTCTGTTTCAGGTTTTTCTCCAGTAAGTCGATCTTGAGAAATAATAATGTTTTCTTCTTAACATGACTTCCAAGAAGCGAAATCCTTAGCTTTCTTCAGTTTTCCTCATAAACCTAGTTGACCAATAACTGCTACCTTGACGTTGTGGTTAGGCTTTCATATCACAATGACCCAACGAGCTACGCTGGTGGGACCCTCGCTATCTCGATATCCTATCATACCAGAAAAGTAGGTTGGATAGTGATGGTGAAAAGCAGTTACCGTCGCAGTGTAGACTGGTACGCTATGATGGGGTTGCAGAGCTAAGAAGCCTGGCTAGATGGTGGAGTGACAGCAGTAAGGTGTTTTCCATGAATGACCAGCAGTGCCACGTTGATGCCACCTTCTCAATGGAAAGATAAGGTTAGAAAAGGTCCGCTCTAGAAATAACGAAATCTCCTCTGCATGCTGTTATCGGCGATACAGGTTCATAGCCGAACTCACAAAAATTAACTCGAAATATCAAAGGCCGTGTTTGATAGGTCTCAAGGAGATATCTCATAGAATGCAGTCACGTGCGACTAATAACAACCCTTCTTCTTCACGAAACACTAAGAGAAACTAGCCTCCCTAGATGTGAGCAGTCGGGAAGTGTCAACCGCCCTCACATCTCTGCCAGCACTCAAGTTCCTTCAGACTACTGTCCACCCTCCACATCCTTAAATTCTTATCTTCCTTCAAATCTCTTCGTCAATAATCGTACATCATTTATTTATCCTAGTTATACGATTCTTGACAACGTTGTGAGTTCATGGAACAGCATCACTTGTCTCCTGAAATCGCGCTCCAAACTATACACTGAAGCTTTCAATGTCCACACACTCCGTGAAACCGGCAAACAAGCTTCGGCATGGAAAACTCTGACATCTCGAACCA